CCCACCTCCACAACTTCAGTGACTCCTTTTCTGAGCACTTTCCCCCCTACAAGGACAAAGCAGCACCTGTAGGTCTGGCCATGACAGCTGGCAGTTGCCAAACCCATTGAAGGATGAGCAGCGAGAACCAGGCCAGCGGACAGAGATCCCCCCAAGCACTGCAAAGTGGGAATCTGCCTTGGGCAGCCTTTGGATTCAGGGACCTGCCGGCACATTCCACACCCATGACAGCCCTCCTGCCCAACCAGATTGCCTTCTGCCACTGCCTTCAGGAAAGGCAGAAGCTAACACACAGAAGACAGGAGCAAAAGAAAAATACCAAAACCAATGGCCACAAGAGAAGTTTACATAGTGCCTTTGGACACTGGTGAGAAATTCACTTACTTGCAAAAACTCATTGACTTCTTGGAGTTTTTGTCTTATTTCGTGGTCTGCTTGTTTTTCCACCTCTCTTTTACACTGTTCTAGTTGGGTGCGATCCACCATGTTAGTCTCCAAATGGTGCTGGACTTTTGCCAGCTCTTCTTGCAGCTGGCATTTGTCCATCTCCAGTTTTTCGCACTTCCCACGCAGGGTAGACAGCTCTTCTTGCAAAGCCTGATTTTTGGCTTCCAGCTGCGAGCACTTTTTACTTTCCCTGTCCAGCTGCTGGGAAAGTTCAGCAACCTGCAGACAGAAAGAAGAAAACAGGAACTCAGAGTGATGGAAAGGCAGTCAATTCTGTGGAAACTCCAAAAGGGAGTGGCCAGGGAGACAATATTCATCATCTGCTGGCTCGGGACTAGAAACAAAGTGCAACCAGGCTCTTCTTTTCCAGCAAGAAGAGCTTTCACCTCATTTGTCTCAGCATTCCTCAGCTTCCCATCCTTTTTGAGTTCCTCATGCAAAAATGCTACAAGCTTCTGGACTCCAAAGGAATCACTGCAAAGGCAGTAAGTGATTCTACAGTGATGCCTTCCAAACCCAAGTGTAGCTCTGAAAGATGGCCACTTTAGCAACAAATCTGAGTAAGGAGTGGAGAAGGAGATAAAAGGTTACATGCCACTACTGCACAGGCAGAGCAGCCTCAAAACCACTACTGGGAACAGTCCTTCTGAGTCCCTGTGACAAGATGGGCTGAAACAGCTACCCATGAGCAATAAGTTACAGATTTTTTCCTGGGAGGCACCTGTCCTCATTGTGCCCTGGGCAGCAACAACACTGTTGAGAAAAGCAAAAGCTCAAATGCCTCCTGCTCAGCTCTTGCCTGAGACAGGGTTCAGGGGCTGATTGTGCCCTGCCAGTGACAGCGCTGTTCCTCCCCTCTCTCCCAGGGCAGCAATTCATCTGTCACACCCAGAGGACGCTGTCACAGCCTCCCTCCAGCTGCAGCCAGGCCTGAGCTGGGCCCCACTGCTCTCAGCCCATGCATGTGATGTCCTGCAAGGAGGGCAGACCTGCCCATCCCTAAGGCCCAGCCAGGGGATCTGCACTCTTGGCTGACCCTCTCACTGTCAGGGCACCTGTTCTGCTCTTCTTGCTGAGGGCCTGTGGGAGGGCTGCCTGGCCCGTGAGGTCATGCACCCTACCAGGCTGGCTGCCACTCTTGGCTTGCCCTTCCTCTGCAAGACAGCCTGGCCTCCATGAGCTCTTACACCTACTGCTTTGCCCTTACATTTGCATCTTTACCCATAATGATAACGACCTCCAGATTAGTTATAGTCATGTTCTACTGTAACAGCAGAAGGAGCATTAAGAAAAACCCATCACATCCAAAATGCAGCCAAGGAAAAAAAATCATCAACATGACAAGAAATATATGGAAAGCATGTCCCAGGTTTCAAAAGAAGTAACATCACAACCAAAAAACCCCACTCAAAGCGCAGCTCACCTCTGTTCGTAATCTATCCACTTCCTTGACCTTTTCAGAATATCTCTTCTTCATTTCTTCCAGCTGGGACTGGCTTTCTTTCTCTTCATTAGCCTTGAGTTTCCTCCTATCTACCCTCAGAAGCTTTTCCAACCTGCACAGCAAATTAGTGAAGAAAACCATGAAACACAGGAAGAACCAGCCTTTTCCCCACAGTCTCACATAAGCAGCACAGACATCAGAGAAGCATAGAATAGCTTGGCTTGGCAGGGACCTTAAAGATCATCTCGTTCCAAGACTCCTGCTGTGGACTGGGACACCTTCCACCAGACCAGGTTGTTCAGAGCTCCATCCAACCTGGCCTTGAACACTTCCAGCCATGGGGCATCCACAGCTTCTCTGGGCAACCTGTTGCAGTTCCTCCCCACCCTCACAGTAACCAATTTCCTCCTAGAATCAAACCTAAACCTACTCTCTTTCCGTTTGAAGACATTCCCCCTCCCCTTGTCCTCTCACTACAGGCTCTTTTAAATGCACTCTTTTCATCATTCTGGTAGGTTCCCTTCACGTACTGAAAGGCCACAATTAGGTCACCCCAAAGCCTTCTCTTTTCCAGGCTGAAGTGTTGCAATTGTCCCAGCCTTTCCTCATAGGAGAGGTGCTCCATCTTTCTGACCACCTTGGTGGCCTCCTCTGGGCTCACTCCAACAGGTGGAGGTCCTTGCTTTGCTAAGGACTCCAGAGCTGGATGCAGAACCCCAGGTGGGGTCTCACTGATGTGCCTCAGGACATCAGTCCTGTGCTGGTGCTTCAGATCACCTCCCCATCATCCATGTGCCTTGACAGAGCTTCTAGAAGGATCTTTTCCATGACCTTGCCAGGCACAGAGGGGAGGCAGACAGGTTGGCAGTTCCCAGGGCCCTCCTTCCTACCCGTTTCAAAGATGGGGACAGTGGGTTTCCCTTTTTCCCCTCACCTGGGACTTCACCCAACTGCCACGACTTTTCAAATATCAAGGAGAGTGTCTTGGCAACTACATCAGACCCTACTGGCCAATGTAGGGCAATAATGCTGGTGAGATGTAGACAATGCATTTAGAAGGAAAATGCATGAAGAAAAAGGAGTCTCTTCTTACCACTCCAAAAAAGCATGGACTTACCTTTCCAGTTTCTTGTCTAGGCATCTTCTAGTTTTCACTTCCTCCAGATACAGGTCTTTGTACATTTCCATTTCTCCCTGCGTTGCTTCTTTACGAGAAGCAATCTCTTGTTGGACTTTTTTTACCCTGTCCAATTCACTTTCGAGATCTCTAATTCTTTCT